ACAAACCATACATCAATGGAAAGATTATTTATTCAGCTTTCAGATGATGCATAAATCTCAATTTAAAAAAATTCAATAATTCAATATTGCTTTCCAAAAATGTGTCACAATAGCTAACTGAATAAAGTGACGTGACATGTGGCCAAGTATGGTGAATAAATATATATGTAATAATAATAATAAATAACTCAAAATTATATTGCATAATTATATTAATAAAATAAAACATTATATTAATAATAGTGCTGTCAAACAATTAATTTTAATACAAAGGGTGGAAAGCCAATCACACAGAGTACATTTTTCATTTAAAAACATGAGATGCAGTGGGATGGGAAAAACCCGCCATAAAGTCTCGATATATATTTTTTTCAAAGTTAAACTAATTAATTTTACATGGCTTTCTAAACATGCGGCTCTTTTGTGCGAGACGCGAGTGCAACAGTAATAGATGTCCCTCTAGAAAATGCATGAAATATGCGTTTTGTGTGTGAATGGCTTGGTTTCAGTTTTGATGTAAACAAGATCTTCTCTGCATTGATGTTCACTTTTTCCGCTATATTTGTAATGAACAACGCAGCAGCGCCACATCTAGTGGCTTCAACTGGATATGCTAACAAACACATTATAATGCAACGACACTTACATCGTCATCTCGTGCGCCACTGATAAGGCTGCCTCCTTAATGCACACCTAAAATTAGAATGCATCGTTTTTTATTTTAAATTCGAAATATGAACTTTTTTGACAGCCCTAATACACAGTACACACTCATATATTACGTAAACAAAAACTTTTATTTTGTATGCGATTAATCGTTTGACAGCACTAATTAATAATGAAGTATTATAGAGCAATAACATTAGTTTCCAAAAATGTGCTACAATAAAAAGTGGTAATAATAACTAAATGTACATGTAACAATGCCACAATAATAATAATGATAATAACTGAATTTTGTTATTAAAATTAAACATTGTATTAACAGTTCAGTATAATATTAATATTACAATAACAATAGCTAAATTAATAAATATGCATTTAATAATGCCCCAATAATAACAATAATATGAATAAAAATAACAATAATTAAATAACTCTGAATTAAATCACATAGTTATATTAATAAAATAAAACATTATATGAATATTTCAGTATAATATTGCAATAACATAATACTGAGTTTCAATGAAAGTGCTAGCATCTGATATCCAGTGTCACTCACAAACACATCCAGGATCTCATTGGTCGGCCCCTCGGCTAGGAAGGACTCTCCCGCGGTGCTGCTGATCTCATTCGGCCGCCGGTACGTGAACATCGTTCCCACTCCCTCATACATTCCTGGACGGTCGATGGCCCAGTTTCCATTAATAATGGATCGGCCAGACCGGCTGAGCAGGGCTGCATACACACACACACACACACACACGCGCACACGCACACACACACGCACACGCACGCGCACGCGCACGCGCACACGCACACGCACACACACATAAA